CCTGCTGGGAGCCAAAACGAGCGCCCCCCCCTATTTTGGGCCTAACAGGCCTGCTTGAAGCCTGCTGGGAGCCAAAACGAGCGCCCCCCCCTATTTTGGGCCTAGCAGGCCTGCCTGAAGCCTGCTGGGAGCCAAAACGAGCGCCCCCCCCTATTTTGGGCCTAGCAGGCCTGCCTGAAGCCTGCTGGGAGCCAAAATGGAGCTTGTGGGAATCCTGGAAGGCGCAGGGGAAGGGAAGGTTGCGAACCGGGTGAGGATGGTGAGGGGGCAGCAAGCTAGGGGCGGCTAGTGAGACTTACCTGTAGGCAGGAGGAGAAGGCATCTCAGTTGGGGCGCAGGGCAGGCACCACATGGCACCTTAGGCAGGGAAGCCACCCAGGAAATGAGTGACTGGGTGGGGCAGGTGGGCGGGACATTTGCACTTAAAATAGTCTGCTCATGCGTACAACATTAAAAGGAAAAATTACATTTTTTTTCAATGAAGATTGTTCTGCGCATGTGCAGAACAGAAAACCAAAATGGCACTGCAGAGGATGGAAATGGTACTGTCATGTGTTTGCTGCAGTTACTACTTATTCGCCTAAACTGGACCTCTGCCTTGATCATGGAATTTTAATGAGTAGACATTGTTTAATTTGATAATGGAGAAAATGTGTTGACTTTAAGTAAGAAAATAAATGCAATAATTCCTATAGATAGTTGCATAATTATCTCCACTCTGCATATAATTATATATAAAGTCTTGAGTTGTAAGACATAAAATCATTGCAAAATTTAGTTTAATCAGAATTTTTTTCATCTAGGATTGAATTAAACAATGCTGTCAATGCCACAAATATTGGTCAACTTGATTGTATATCAGCAGCAACTGTTAATGGAGAATATAAATGCATTGGTATGCTTTTACAATAAGTTTAACAAGATTAGGTATTATGTATATACAGAAATTATATAAAAGCGAGATTTGTTTTGGAGCACAATATAATAATATGGAACTATGTTTTATTTACTTATACAATTTATTTGCCACCCATCTTGTATCTAATGGCTCTGGGTGGCTTAAAACATTAAAATCCATTATGAAAACACAGCAAATAAAAACTTTAACAGATAAAATCAAGGAAACAAGATTGCAAAGATGGAAGCTAGACACCGGGGTTGTGGGGAGTGCATGAGGGAGATAGCAATTGAATTTTATCTAGTCAACCACCTCCAGTATGAAGATCCCCCACTGGATCCCCAAGCCATCTGGCAGAGCAATAGCCGCTTTCAAAACCTCAGAAGGATGGGAGACAGTCTCACCTCGGGGATGTTGCAGAGGGCAAGAGCCATGGCAGAAAAGGTTATTCTTCAGGATTCTGCCAGCTGAAATTCCTTGGCTGACAGGATCTGCAATATGCCCCCCTTTGTTGTTTTGGCAGTTGAAATTTTAAAAATTGTGTTATAGATGGTGTTTTGTCTACTTTCAGAAAAATAAAAAGTTGTATTATATATTGAATTCAACTATGCATTTTGCATAAAGATCTTTAATATTACATTTAGACTTGGACTTCCTGAGTTTAAAAAAACAGTGGTGGTTAATAAAAATCCATCTTCACCCTGGATTTGAAATAATGCAAAAAGCAAATGAAATCTTAGATTTTAAAAATGTTTTTAAAAATAAATATAATGATAAAATCTAAAGCAGTCTTACTCCGAGAAGTTTAAAGTATTTGTTATTTTTCTAGGTTTAGAATCTAAAATGCCTGGATTTCTTGAGATGTCACACCAAAATGTAAGTCTGTTAATGGTTCTCTGCTTGTAAATAAGTAATTACTTCTGCATTATTCAACTAAACATTTATAAATTAGTACAAATCTTTAGTTGAATAACAATATTTTTACACAGACCAGAGGTATCCTATAAGTCACATAACAACATAGTGCGTAGTAAAATAGAATTTTACTTTTAAAGCAATGCTTTGAAAAGTTTTATATACTGCTACAAATTGTAACACATTGAAATCATCAGGTAATCCATGCGGCCATTAAAATAAACTCATGTAATTTTCTACAACCCTTCCATTGCTCTTATACTGGATTAGCATAAAAACCTACAACTGACGTAATTATCCAAAGTTTGTCCTGTGACAGAAAATAATAAATATGCCCTACTTATGGATATCATATGAAATATTTACATAGCTTTGTAAATGAATAACCCAGATAGTATATGATTTCAGCACAAAGAATTTTGGAAGTATTAATTAGAAATACTCCAATTAATAGAGTTGCAATGTAAATTATGCGTGTTGCTACAACTTTTTAAAATCTAGGCACTATTGCCAAACAACTATTTAGGGCGATGTACAAATTAATACCCTGGTTTCACACGGTAAAAATTGTGAAAAAAGAAGAAAGAAGTTCTAGTGAAGCAAAATTTCAAATACAAAGTATTTGAGGTTACTTACTCAACTAATTCATACTTAGCAAATTTGAGGTTTTTCGTCAAAGAAATACGATACATTGCACAACAACATTCATCCCCCCTTCCCTTAAATTCCAAAGATAAAAGTATTTTTTGATTTATAAGGCAGCAATTTTATGTGTCATATGGTTATGCTAGAAGGCATTGAAGAAAAAGGAGTAAGGCTCTTTGCAAATATTCACAACTGCTGTCACATATCAGGCTTATTAAAAATCAAAAGAAGCTGCCAATGATATCTCAATTATACTTTATGTAGCTTCTTCTACTCTTTTGGTATGTTGATCTTATATTTCAATCTCAAAATATCCATCAAAAAAGTGCTAGACTCAAAAATTGTTCTGTTAAATGGGCAGTAAAACAAACGGGATTTTCAAGGTTTCATATATCTATTTAACGAGTACCCAGATTTTTATTCCTAATTTATAGTACATGTTTCCTATTCTCTCCCTCGAACTTTGGCATAGTCCAATATAATAAAGGAGCATTAGATACTTTGCCCTGTTTGGAATTATATATTTAAATTAATTAAGATATTGATATTAAAGACGTAGATGCACTTATCAAGCTGCCTTATGGAATCACTCTCTTTAGAAAAATTATGTTAAGAATGAAATGATTATTTTTGTAGATAATCTTCCATAATTTCTCAGAGAAGTCAATTAAAGATCATAAATAGAAACTACTAAAAATTGTAGATCATTGTGTTGTGGCAGCATAAAATGTTTTGTAAAAAAGCATCCTTAATTACCATTACATTAATTTGTATTGAATATGTTCAAAATAGTAATAAATACTATTATAAAATACCAAAAAGTATAATTAAATTTATATTAAATAATATCTTTATAGAAATAATGTGAGTTCTTTTTTATTGTAACCATGGAATTTTATTTTTATTTTCAGGATGATTCTCTAGAAGAAAGTCTTCCCTCAAATATGAATGCAGTAAAGTCATTCTCAAATGATGTGCCAAAATACCCAGAAACATCAATGGCTTTCCAAAGTATTGGAATCATCAGTGGCAAGAGTGATATCGCAGATAATGACCCGTTTCATGAAGCAATAGCAACTAATGAGACAATAAATAGTATGGCAACTAAAATGTTTGACGTGAAACAATTAATAAAACCACTTGATGAATTTGAAACCAACCAAATGTCTGACATGTTAGAATATCAGAATGATAATTTTTCCATAGATACATCTGTAAATGAGGAGAGTAATACTTTTCCAGAAGAGCTTCTCACAGCTCTAAACACCCTGACAGAATCTGTAGTAGCAGTAGAAGACAGAATTGGATCAAGCACAACAGAGAAGCAGCTAACACCCGAACAGGCAGATGATGATGCCACAGAAATAATAGAAACAGATTTGAAATCTCAGTGTCATTTGCAATGCCATGAAAAACCAAAAGCTTTAATGATAGCCAAGATGTCATGCACTTCAGGCAAACACGTATGTAAATACATATATACAGAGAGTGAGTGAGTGAGTTAATAGAAAAAAAATAAGCTATGTTCACAAGTTTATATTCTTAGATCAGTAATGTATGTTTTAATTGATGTTCAGCTTTTTTAAAAAAATATCTTGTTATCTCAGAGTTACTGGCTAAATCTGTTTTTTTCCCCAGACCCCTCCTTGGGCTGTACCAAATGTTTCTTGTGGGTTGGGAAATTAGTCTGCATCTTCTCTCAAACTGAAGGGTTGAGAAGGGACAGAGAAGAGAAATGCATAAGCAATATTTTAAACTGATCTGTCAGAGTCATTCGTTTAAATTAAATGTGCTAAAGTTATTTTCTATGCCCTGGTTCCTTTTTATTAATCTGGCCACGTACTTCAAAAAATTACAAGTTATCCCTGTAAATCGCTCCTGCTTCTTTTTCTCTATACAGTATGAAATCCCAGGGATCTTATGCTGTATCACCTGTCTGTCCACACTCCATTCCGTGTGTCAACCCATACCTCCCTATCTGTCTTTGCTCTATAATACCTAGCTGCAGCTTCCCCCACAACACCTAGACATACACATATCCTCCTCCTTACCTGCAAGTTTTGTCTCTTCCCATTTTATGACTTGCACCATTCTCCAAGTAGGTGGAGACATCATCCGGGCATGGGTATGACTCTGTCAGTATCCAATATGACTGGGTTTACAAGTATTAAAGCCACGCCCACGAAGCTCCTCCCCAGAAATAGACTCAGTCGATCCTTCGATTAGCTGTGTCTCCCTATTTCTTCTTGCTAATTTCCTTTACCTTTTGCTAAAAATCCTTCAAAATCTTTTCCTTTGAAAAGCGTTCGGAGACTTCAGTTAGTCCAGAATGCGGCCACGCGAGCGATATTGGGTGCACCGAGGTACACCCACGTTACACCTGTCCTCCGTGAGGTGCACTGGCTACCAATTGGTCTCCGGACGCAATTCAAGGTGTTTATTTACCTTTATTACCTTTAAAGCCCTACATGGCTTAGGGCCAGTGTACCTTCGAGACC